AACACTTTGGGAGGCTGAGGCATGAGGGTTGCCTTAAATCAGGGGTTCAAGACCAGCCTGGGCAACTTGGCAAGACCTCATCCCTACAGTAAATAAAGAAAATTAGCCGAGTGTGGTGGAGCATACCTGCAGTTCTGGATACTTGGAAGGTTGAGGTGGAAGGATTGCCTGAGCCCAGCAGGTAGACTCTGGGGTGGCCCTGAGTGTGCCACTGCACTCCTGCCTAGGCGATAGAGTGAGACTCCAACGCAAAAAAAAAAAAAAAATCCCACAAGAGACCAGATAAAAGCTAGAATACGTATCTTTTTTCTACCATTCCTTCCTTGGCACCCAAGTTACGGTTTTTCTATACTCTTTGTATATCACTGTGTTTATAGTGGTTGTAATTTGACAGGAAGTACATTTGGATCCTGCAAATAGCATGATGTTTTATATAAGTTTACCGAATTCTTAGTTTATGACAAGTAAAATTACTTTTAGATAGTAAAAGAAATGCCATCATGGTTCTTCATTTTCTTTGACCACTTAACATAGTTTTTTTCCTATCTGATTAAATGATTGAGTTATTCTTTTCTCCATTAGTGGGATTACTTTGTAGCACTTCTGTGGTGGTTCTTTCATTTCTCTAAGAATTAATTTTAATGGTTTTTTCCAATCGGGAATTGAGTTAATGATGTAGAAGAATTCACATTAGAATTGATTACATAGAATGTTGTAATATTGCATTCCCTGAAGAATATTGCATAATCTTTCAAATGAGAAGAAATTGCTTAAGTTTATTATTATTATTATTAAGTTGGAGTTTCACTCCATCACCCGGCTAGATGCAGTGGCACGCTCACGGCCACCCCAGTATTGACCTGTTGGGCTGAGGTGATCCTTCTGCCTCAGCCTTCCAAGTAGCTGGTACTACAGATGCGCGCAACCATGCCTGGTTAATTTTTTGACTTATTGTAGAGATGAGGTCTCACCAAGTTGCCCAGACTGATCTTGAACCCGTGAGCTCAGGCAATCCTCTTGCCTTGGCCTCCCAAAGTGCTGGGAATCCAGACTTGAGCCATCGCACTTGGCTTTAAGTTCATTATTATTTAAACTTATTCAGTATACTTTTTTTTTTTTGAGTTGGAGTCTCATTCTGTTGCCCAGGTTGGAGTGCAGTGGCATACTCATGGCCATCCTAGCATTGATCTGCTAGGCTCAGGTGATCCTTCTGCCTCAGCCTTTCAAGTAGTTGGTACTATAGATGCACACTACCATGCCTGGCTAATTTTTTGACTTATTGTAGAGATGAGGTCTCACCATGTTGCCCAGGCTGGTCTCAAACCTGCGGGCTCAGGCAATCCTCTCACCTCGGCCTCCCAAAATGCTGGGTTTATGGGCTTGAGTCACCATGCCCAGCCTAAATGTACATTTTATTTTATTATTATTATTTTTGAGTTGGAGTCTCATTCTGTCACCCAGACTGGAGTACAGTGGCACGTTCCCGGCCACCGCAGCCTTGACCTGCTGGTTTCTGGTGATCCTTCCGCCTCAGCCTTCCAAGTAGCTAGAACTACAGTCGTGCGCTACCACCCCTGGCTAATTTTTTTTTTTTTTTTTGATTTATTGTAGAGATGAGGTCTCGCCAAGTTGCCCAGGCAGGTCTTGAACCCGCAGGCTCAAGCAATTCACTCACCTCGGCCTCCCAAAGTGTGGGATTACAGGCCGAGCCACTGGGCCCAGCTAATTTTTTGACTTATTGTAGAGACAAAGTCTTGCTAAGTTGCTCAGGCTGGTCTCGAACCCTTGGACTCAGGCAGTCCTCTCACTTCTGCCTCTCAAAGTACTGAGGTTATAGGCATGAGCCACCGCGCTCGGCCTACCATCTCTTTAAAAAGATTATTTATTGAAGTGAAATTAACATACTTAAAACTAACCACTTAAAGTAAACAGTTGAATGGTATACAACTATCACATCTCTAGCTATAAAGCATTTCTGTCACTTCAGCCTAAAATACTCTACCTATTAAGCAATTTCTCTCCATTCCCATATCCCCTTAATCTCTGGGTACCACCTGTCTGCTTCCTGTCTCTATAGATTTATAGTTCTGGATATTTAATATAAATGGAATCATACAGTATGTGACCTTTTGTGTCTGAGTTCTTTCAGCATAATGTTTTGGAGATTCATCCACCTTGTAGCCTGTGTCAGTACGTCTTTCCTCTTTATGGCTGAATGATATTCCATTGTATGGATATACCACAATTTGTTTCTACATATATCTGTTGCTGGACATTTAGATTGTATCTGCTTTTTGCATATGTGAATAGAGTTTCTGTGAACATGTGTGTACATGCACTTGTTTGAGTACCTGTTTTCAGTTCTCTGTGTTGTATACCTAGGAGTGGAATTGTGGATTGAATGGGAGTTCTATGTTTAGCTATTTAAGGAATTGCCAAACACTTTTCCCACAGCAGTATATGAGGGTTCCAGTTTTTTCACATGTTCAACAAGTGTTATTATTTTTTTACATTTTAATTATAGTCATCCTAATGGATTGTGAAATGATATACCTCATTTTGGTTTTGGTTTTCATTTCCCTAACTACTAATGATGTGGAACATCTTTTCAAATGCTTATTGGTCATTTGTATATCTTCTTTGGAGATATATTTGTCCTTGGCCATTGTTTAATTGGATTGTCTTTTTCTTATTAAGTCTTAGGATTTCTTTAAATGCTACAGACATTAAATCCTTATCAGATACAGGATTTGAAAATATTTCCCCATACTGTAGGTTGTCTTTTCTGTTCTTGACAATGTCCTTTGGATGCACAAAAGTTTTCAAATTTTTTTTTTTTTTTTGAGTTGGAGTCTCACTCTATTGCCCAGACTGGGGTGCAGTGGCCGCTTCCGGCCACCACAGCCTCGACCTGCTGGGCTTCCGGCGATCCTTCCGCCTCAGCCTTCCAAGTAGCCGGAATTACAGGCATGCGCTACCATGCCCGGCTGATTTTTTGATTTATTGTAGAGATGAGGTCTCGCTGCCCAGGCGGGTCTCAAACCCGCGGGCTCAGGCAATCCAGTCACTTCAGCCTCCCAAAGGTGCGGGATTACAGGCTGAGCCTCTGAGCCCGGCTAACTAGGCATTTCTTGTGTTTCCTCTTCTCTTCCGGAGAGGAATGAAGGAAATCCTTTGTTCTTGTAGGTAGGTAGTCATCGCTGGGAAGGCAAAAGTTTTCCATTTTAGTAAAGTCCAGCTTATCAGTACTTTTTGTTGCTAATGATTTTGTTTTCACATCTAAAATTCCATCACCAAGTTTTTTATTCTTTTTTTTTTTTTTGAGTTGGAATCTCACTGTATCGCCCAGACTGGAGTACAGTGGCTGCTCCCAGCCACCGCAGCCTCAACCTGTTGGGCTCTGGCGATCCTTCCACCTCAGCCTTCCAAGTAGCTGGAACTACAGGCGCACGCTATCACGCCCAGCTAGTTTTTGATTTATTGTAGAGATGAGGTCTCACCAAGTTGGCCGGGCGGCTCTCGAACCCACAGGCTCAGGCAATCCACTCACCTCAGTATCCCAAAGCACGGGATTTCAGGCTGAACCACCTAGCCTGGCTTGATTCATTTTTAGTTAATTTTTGTATTTGGCTTGAGGTAGAGTCCAGTTTTATTATTTTGTTTGTAGAAATCCAATTGTCCCAGCACAATTTATTGAAGAGACTGTTGTTTCTCCATTGAATGGACTTGATTGACCATAGATGTATGGGATTATTTCTAGAATATCAATTCTATTTCCATTGGTTTATATGTATGGCAGTATGTAAGGACTAACCTGTCTGGTTGTAGTAACTTTTAAAATAAGGGAGTATGAGTCCTCCAACTTTGTTGTTCTTTTTAAAAATTGTTTTGGCTACTTGGATCTTTTAGATTTTCATATAAGTTTTAGGATCACCTTGTCAGTTTCTGCAAAAAAGGAAGATAGGGATTTTTATAGGGACTGTGTTCTGTGTTCAATCTATAGATTGAACTGGGGAATAGTGCCTATCTTAACATTAAGTCTTTACATTTCTTTAGGTCTTTTTACATTTCTTTTTTTTTTTTTCAAGTTGGCATCTCACTATGTTGCCCAGGCTGGAGTGCAGTGGCACGCTTACAGCTATCCCAGTGTCAACCTGCTGGCCTCTAGCGATCCTTCTACCCCAGCCTTCCAAGTAGCCGGAACTATAGGCACGTGCTACCATGCCTGGCTAATTTTTTATTTATTGTAGAGATGAGATCTCGCCAAGTTGTCCAGGCTGGTCTCGAACCTGTAGGCTCAGGCAATCCCTTCACCCTGGCCTCCCAAAGTGCTGGGATTACAGGCTGAGCCACCGAGCCTGGCCGGAATTGTTTTCTTAATATCCTTTTTAGGTTATTCATTGCTGATATATAGATAGAAATAAAACTGAATATTGATTGTGTATCCTGCAACTTTGCTGAATTTATTAGTTCTTGTAGCTTTTTGTGGATTCTGGGATTTTCCACATATAGGATCATAGCATCTGGTCTTAATAGAGATGGTTAATAGAGATGGTCTTACTTCTCCCTTTTAATTAGGTTTCCTTTTATTTTTTTTCTTGTCTAATGCTCTGGCTAGAAACTCTCAATATGTCTTGGATGCCAAGTGCTGTGGCTCACGCCCATATCCTCAACAATTTAGGAGGCTAAGGCAGGAGGATTGCTTGAGGCCAGGAGTTTGAAACCAGCTTGGGACACCATCTGTAAAAACAAAAAAATGGAAGAAAGAAAGAAACATGTCTTGGAAACTGGTCAAAATGAATATTTATAATATTATGAAATGTTAATTATTCTTTAACTTTTGTTTTGAATATGAAAAAATGTAGAATTATTTGCTCCCTTATTGAAAAAAACCCCAAGTTTCCAGGAGTAAAGGAAACCAGAAGACCTGATGTTTCTTTTTGTACATTGCATTTTGAGTATTTACTGAATGAATGAATATATTTGTGTCTCATAGAATGGAGATGTATGCATTTCAATTCTTCATCCGCCTGTAGATGACCCACAGAGTGGAGAACTGCCTTCTGAAAGGTGGAACCCTACTCAGAATGTGAGGTAAGGTGTTATATAAGAACTGATCTTGTTCTGGGGTACGTCTGGGAGTCTCCTTACTTGCTTTGCCCTAGTAAGATAAGATTACATCTTGTCTTTTAACTCTACAGCAGAATCTTCCTGTACTTCGTTGTTTTTTCTTCATCTAGAGCTTTGAGCATATATGCATCATTTTGAAGAGTTGTATTTACTAAGCAATAATGCATATGATTCTCATTTTGCTTTGGAGGACATTTTCAAATCTGAATTATTCCTCTGATATTATATGAATTTCACCTTGCTTCTTTGGATTTCATGACTTCTGTGTTTGTTTGGCTGCTTCCTTATTTTGGAATTTTTTTTTTTTTTTGGTCGAGATCTCACCCTGTCACCCAAGCTGAAGTACAGTGACATGATCATGGCTTGCTGCAGGCTTGACCTCCTGGACCCAGGCAATCCTCCTGCCTCAGCTTCCCAACTAGCTGAGACTATAGGCATGCACCACTATGCCGGCTAATTTTTTGACATTTTAGTAGAGATGCGGTCTTGCTGTGTTGCCCAGGTTGGTCTCAAACTCCTGAATTCAAGCAGTCTTCCCACCTCAGCTTCTCAAAGTGCTGGGATTACAAGGGTGAGCCACTGTCTCCCCTCAGGCTATTTTAGGATTCTTAGTATTTACAAACTCAAAATTGCCTTTATATACTACTTGAAAAAAAGCTTTCTTCATCTGATGTTTTTCCCTTCATTTTTTTTGTGTGTTTCTTCTGATAGTTTGGAAGACTTGTATATTTTTCATGATTTCCTTTGATTGTCTACTGAGTTGATCTATTGATTTATCTAGATAGATATTTAATCATCTTTTTAGAGTAGTAGTCTGTATGTGTATGGGATGGTCACGTGCCCCTTAAAAGAATTTTTAAAGACTATTTACACTGCTGCATGCTTTTGAATGCAGTTTTTTAATCATGAATTTAAATTATTAAAAAATAATTTCTCTGGCCAGGCGTGGTGGCTCAAGCCTGTAATCCCAGCACTTTGGAAGGCTGAGGTGAAGGGATTGCCTGAGCCCACAGGTTTGAGAACAGCCTGGGCAACTTGGCGAGACTTCATCTCTACAAAAAATAAAAAAATTAGCCAGGCGTGGTAGTATGTGCCTGTAGTTCTGGCTACTTGGAAGGCTGAGACAGAAGGATCACCTGAGCCCAGCAGGT